GCTGAGATCATGACCTGATCCAAAGTCAAAGGCATAACCAAATGAGCCACCCAGGCACCCGAGATAGATTTTTTAAAAATGGAACTTGTATTACACAGAAAAACTCAGTGATGTGTAGGAAACAATATACATCTTTAAACTTCAGAAATTTGGGGACCAAATTTTGATTAGTGGTCCTATCATTACTGCTGCTTTTGTCAACAATCTACCTGAAATCCTTATTTCAGTGACCTGCAGGACATTTGTGTTGGCAGCTGAGAGCTGTGCTGTCCAATCCAGTAACCACTAGCCACTAGTGGCTATTTAACTTTTTAAATCTAAATTGAGGGGTGCCTGGGTGGCTCAGTCATTAGGCGTCTGCCTTTGACTCAGGTCATGGTCCCAGGGTCCTGGGATCAAGCCCCACATCGGGCTCCCTGCTCGGCGGGAGGCCTACTTCTCCCTCTCCTACTCCCCCTGCTTGTGTTCCTGCTCTCGTGATCTGTCAAATAAATAAAATCTTAAAAATAAATAAATCTAAATTGAGTAAAATGTAAAATTCAGTTCCTCAGTCACACTAGCCTTAAGTGCTCAATAGCTGCATGTGGCTAGTAGCTACCATGTTGGACAGTGCATAGAATATTCCTGTCTTGCAGAAAGTTCTGTTGGAAAGCTTGGACTTAATTGTCCTTCAAAATTCCCAAGTGTATTCTGGGCTGTTTGCCCACCACCTCAACTCCAACTCATGGAACCCTCTTCTCTGATTTTATTACTCAGGTACATTCTTGCTTCTCTTTGAGCTCCACACTCACCTTTTTCAAAACAGGGGCTGTGTATTTGCTCAACATTTACTACTAAGTACCTACTCAGGGGCATGCAAAGGAAAAGGAGTCACGCATAACCCAAATCTGAATGTTACTTCAGGTTTGGGGGCATACAGACCTGCTTTCACTCTGCCACCACCATTCACCTGGTTCTGCCTCTAGTCCCTGCTGACAATGAAGGAAGACTGCAGACAGGTTACTATCAAGTGCTACTCGGGACTTGCAATTACCTAGTTTCAATTTGCATCCAGGGCTGCATAGATATTTTTGTCCTGTCAGGGTTCCTTAAAGCAGTTTAATGGCAGTGACCACATGTATATTTTTCACAAGTGTCAGTTTAAATCCTTAATGATAATTGCTTTCACAGAATACGAAATTTTCGGGGATGGGGGGATGGGTTAGCCCGGTACTGGATATTAGGAGGGCATGTATTGCATGGAGCACTGGGTGTTATATGCAAACAATGAATCATGGAACACTACATCAAAAACTAATGATGTACTATATGGTGACTAACATAATTAAAATAAAAAAATAAAATAAATAAAATAAAAAATATGAAATTATACCAACACCGGGTCTGACCTTTGGCTCACAACTCTCCCCGGAAAAATTTGAATATGAACTGAGTAGTAAATATCAGGAAATTCTGGTCAATGTTCCCAAGTGCAATAATGCTACTTACAGAGAAGGTATTTTTAAAAATGCATGCTTAAGTATTTCAACAAAGTGTCAAGCTGCTTTCAACTGCTTCCCAGCAAAAATAGAGAGGAAGCAAATATTAGAAATGTTATCTGTCAAATGTAGGTGATGAGCAGATAAGTGATCAATGTACTGGTCTTTTGAGCTTCCCTGTTTAAATTTTTTCATAAAAGTTGAAAAAAATGTTACACAACTGGCATGTCCTGTGGGCCTCAGTAATTTAGTTTTTAAGTGTGTCCCTTTTATTGCTGACTAGTATTCCATTAGAAATACACATTTTGTTTATTCATTCACCAGTTGGTGGGTACTATTTCCAGTTATTGGCCATTATGAATAATACTGCAATGACTACTCACATGCAGTCTTTATATAGGCATCGGTGGTTTTATAAATAAGCTTAAAACATTAATGTTTGGTAAGAATGGCTTATACTGCTCAGGCTTCATTCAGGAAATGCTGTTTTTCAAGCCTGAAGTTTAATAAATTTTAATAAAATCAAAGTGACCATTTCTTCTAGTTAATTCTGCTTTCTTATGAGGGTTTGACAACATGACTCTGTTTCAATGTTCAATATGTTTTGTTTCTGCTTTTGCAAACATAGTACAGTGAGCCTCACGATGTTTCACAGATGATTAAAGATTTTAAAGGGTCTCCTGCCAACTATTCTGAACAGTAAAATGCCGCAGAGAACAATGTCCAACAGAATGCCGACCAGACTTCGAACCTATAATATAGCATGACATTGCTTTTACAAGTAATTCCCTAGCATGTTGATGTTTTAATCTTACTTCTAATCATCTTACTACCATTTATCAGTACTTAACCGTACTATCAGGCAGCGCACGGATTCCTGATACACAACAGGGGTATGCCAGTGAAGATGACGGCCCAGCAGTGCTCTCTCGCCAAACAGCACACTGGCCTGCATTGGACCTGAAGTCTGCCTTCCAGCTCTGTTCTACTCCACCACTTGGTGTCAACCTGCACGTGTTACTGCCTCTTCAAAATTCTGCATACCAAAGAAGTAACTTGGTTTGTTTTCATAGCCTGATACAGTAGCAGTAGTATGCTACCAAATTTCTTGCCCTAATTTCTATAAAGCAAGTAGACTACCTATGTATACTTGCTCATTTGAGATACTAAGGACAGCGAACATTTACTGGGGCATAATAAATGTCAGACACTAACAGGCTCTTTTTAGTAATCTCAAAATATCTATGGAATAGATACAATCATTATCCACATTTTATAACTCAGAACACTGATGAGTGAAGAAGTGAAGCTGCCCAAGGATGAAAAAAGATTATTTCCTTCCAATACTGACCAAGAATATCGGTGACTTAGAAACCATGTCATTTTAGAAGTTAAAAGAATTTTTTAAGTGTATTTTTGTCTTAGCCAGCAGATACCAAACATCTTTTTTTTCCCCCAAAGATTTCATTTATTTGGGAGAGCGTACATGAGAGAGAGCACAAGCTGGGGGGAGGGGCAGAGGGAGAAGCAGCAGACTCCCCACTGAGCAGGGATTCCAACACAGGTCTTGATCGCAGGCTTGAGATCATGACCTGAGCTGAAGGCAGATACTTATCTGACTGAGCCACCCAGGCACCTCTATCAATTCATCCATCCATCCATTTATTTGAGAGAGATAGTGAGAAAGCACAAGCAGGTGAGAGAGGGAGAAGCAGACTCCCCACTGAGCAGGGAGCCCCACTGGGGCTCAATCCCAAGACCCCAGCATCATGACCTGAACCAAAGGCTGACTTTTAACTGACTGAGCCACCCAGGTGCCCCACCCCTATTAATTTTTACTTTCAAGTAAACTCCACACTCAAGGTGAGTCTCTAATTCATGACCCTCAGATCAAGAGTCATATGCTCTATTGACTGAGCCAGCTGTTGCCCCAAACCATCTTAATTTTTTTAATTTTTAATTTTTTTATTTTTTAGATTCTATTTATTTGTCAGAGAGAGAGAGACAGAGAGAGCACAAGCAGGGGGAGCGGCAGGCAGAGGGAGAAGCAGGCTCCCCGCGGAAAAGGGAGCCCAATGCAGGACTCAATCCCAGGACCCTGAGATCATGACCTGAGCCAAAGGCAGATGCCTAACCGACCAAGCCACACAGGCGTCCCCCATCTTAATTTTTTAAAGCTAACTTTGTTGGGGCCTCTAGCAGGCTCAGTTGGTAGAGCATCCAACTCAATCTCTCCATCTTTGAGACCCACATTGAGTGTGGAACCTACTTTATTTATTTATTTAAAAAGATTTTATTTGTCAGAGAGAGAGAGAGAGAGCAAACGAGCACAAGCAGAGGGAATGGCAGGCAGAGGGAGAAACAGGCTTCCTGTTGAGCAAGGAGCCCGATGTGGGGCTTGATCCCAGGACCCCGGGATCATGACCTGAGCCGAAGGCAGATGCCTAACCGACTGAGCCACCCAGGCGTCCCTGGAACCTACTTAAAAAAAAAAAAAAAAGGTAACTTTGTTATTTCTTTTTTTTGGATCATGCATTCATTTGGAGCCAACAAGTACTCCAAAGAAAAATCTCCACAAATTGTGAAAAAAAATAGGCATATTTCCTTTCAGAAAAATCAAAGCTAGAATGTTTAGCTATTTTTTTTTCCTTTCAGTTAGCAACAATCGCACCTTGGATAAAGCTCACTGGCTAAGATACTGCCACTGCACAAAGCTAGAATGTTTAGCTGTTAAAGAGTCTCCCCCAACTTGCTTTACATCGAGTGACTTCACTGTAGTGGCCCAGGAAGGGGCAGGCTCCCTCTTTCCAAATCACCCCCAACAGAGATCACCTGCTGCTAAATAGCAAGACAGAGGTTTGGACTGAATGAAGTATTGAGACCTTCAAGTCTGTCCTCTGAAGGAAAAAAAAAATCTTTAGGAGTGAGAATACAGTGCTTTAGGACCACTGCCTCCAAATCTACATTCTTCAACAGTCCAAGAAAAAAGGTCAAGTACTGATGTACCTTAAGGCTATGTATGGGCCCTCCATGCTTGGCAGTTATCCTCGGTGTAACTGCTTTCCATGGTGACCTTCCTCCTTGACTTCTGGGTTAAGCACAATGATGCCAATGCTGTCTCACAGTCATGAGCACTATCATCCTTTCTATAAGGATTTCAGATGATGGTACAGGGCTGGTTTAATTCTTCCTTTTGCATTTATATTTGGGGTTCCTGTTTGGGGTTTTTTGCTTGTTTTTGCTTGTAGGCTCCATGTCTAATGTGGGACTTGAACTCACCACCCCAAGATCAAGAGTCACGTGCTCTACCAACTGAGTCAGCCAAGTGTCCCTTAATTCCTCCTTTTGCATTAGGTAAGACTGTTGTTTCCTGTAGTTGCAAAAACTACAAACACATTGAAATTAAAACATGAAATCTTAGGAATCAAAAATAACATAGGGGCTAAAAAAATAAAATCTTAAAAAAGGGGTGCTTGGCTGGCTCAGTCAGTAGAGCATGCCACTCTTGATCTTGGGGTACTGAGTTCAAGCCTCACACTGGGGATAGAGATTACTTAAAAAAAAAAAATCTTAAAACAAAACAAAAACTTAAAAATAACACAGGGGCCAAAACCATGGTATGAGGTAGTCAAAAGTGTAGCTTATATGCATATCACCCCACCTCACCCTTCCCAGAGGCAAGGTCAGGTTATCATGGTCCAATAGTCAAATCTGAAATAGCAACCTAAACCAAGACCAAGCTGGGTTGTTCTATCCAAAGGAAGCCCAAGTGCAATGGAATTTCTGTGTAAGTCAGCTCCAGACATCAGGACAGTGGTGCTGGGCTTGGGATGTAGTTCCCTCAGCAGCAGAGTAGTATTTAGAGATTAATATTGAAAGCTGCGCTTGGTCTGGATATCATCAAGAATCTGCTGTAGCTCCTCATCTTCAAACCGCCCCTCCAGGCTACAAGAAGAAAACCAAAAGAAATGAGTGTCTCAGTGACTGACAATATACTCTTTTTTAACACACGCTAATCTTTGAGCACCACTTGCCCACTTCTCCTCTAAACATATACTTTTACCCTTCAGTTGTATTTGTCATTCCTTTTTTTTTTTAAAGATTTTTATTTATTTGAGAGAGCGAGAAAGAGAGAGAGAGAGAGCACATGAGAGGGGGGAGGGTCGGAGGGAGAAGCAGACTCCCTGCTGAGCAGGGAGCCCGATGAGGGACTCGATCCTCGGACTCCAGGATCATGACCTGAGCCGAAGGCAGTCGCTTAACCGACTGAGCCACACAGGCGCCCTCTGCCATTCCTTTTAAAAACCTATGAAGTGTTTCAAGATTTAAGAAAGTATAGAAAATAAGTTAACCTTAACAGTTACCCCTACTTGATTTAGATTTCTTTAATAACCACAACAGGAACAAATTAATGGCTCTGTGTATGCTTCCCCCCATTGCAATACCTTCCCCAGAATTAACCATTATCCTAAATTTCTATACATATTTTATACTTACTATATACATATGTAAATGTATCTATAAGCCATACGCAGCACTGTTTTTAAACTTTATAGGAAATGGCATCATACTATGTGTATCCTTCTGCAATTTTTTTCACTCCAAATTGATTTTGGTATTTGTTATTATTCCATGTTGTTCTAGTTCATTAATTTTTTCACTGCTACATAAATGATTTATCCATCCTCTTGTTTACTGACAGACTGTCAAGTTTCTGTTATCACTAACACTGCAGTAATGAACATTACAATACATGCCTTCTTATGGAACTGCATGAGATGCTTTTAGGCATGTACCCAGGAATGGATTTTTTGGGTCACAGGGTATAATCATTTTTAACTCTACTAGATGTAGCCAAATTGCTCTCCAAAGTGACTCTACTAATTTGCAGTCCTACCACCAGTGTGAGAGTTCAGCTGTTCCACATTTTTGCTAACAGTTGGTATCCTATAAAACCATCATTTTCATACCCTGTTAAAAAAGCACTCCATTCAACGTTGGTGCTATCTGTACCGATTTTAAATGTACACACCTTTTAGAAACAGTAATTCTACTTGTAGAATTACTTTAATATACAGAACTTAGCACAGTGACTGTACTAACCTTGGGATCAGCGCCTTTGACTCCTCAGCAGTCTCTGGGCAAAGGTTGGCCAAACAGGCCAACTCAAATTTATGAAGCTTCTTCTGCAGCAACAAGCTAACCGTGGGAAGAAAGTCAAAACAAACAAAAATCAAAGAATTATGAGTAGGAAAAAGAATCAAAGGTAGTTAGTAAGAAACAAGTAAAGCACTTTGCAATCTTTCTATATGGTTAGCTTGGCTGCAAAATCCCACTTTCAAATCACTTCCTGTTCCTATTCCTGGAGAACAGAAGTTACAATGAAATCAGGCAGACAAGAAAAGTGAGAAGAGCACATCAGGCCTGAGAACCCCTTGCTATTATAACTTTTGAAAAACCACTATATACCTTATGGACTATACAACCTTTTCCCTAAGAATTTATTTTGCTGTTCTCTGCTCTTATCACTCTGCCTTGCTTCTTTCATCATTAATTTTATGTCAAACACATGATGTTCGTATATTTTGACTTGGAGGAAATTCTCTTTTAAACTTACCTAAAACAAAACAAAAACAGAACAAAAAAAAATCTAAAAAATAAATACAGGCATACTTTACTTTGTACAAATACGTATAAACTGCATCTTATTTTAAATGTATTTCTAGTCCAAATCGTATAAAATGCTGTCAAATCCTATCTTGGTTTCTTACACATTTAGCTTTTTTTTTTTTTAAGATTTTATTTATTTATTTGACAGAGAGAGACAGTGAGAGAAGGAACACAAGCAGGAGTGGAAGAGGGAGAAGCAGGGTTCCTGCTGAGCAGGGAGCCCGACACAGGGCTAGAGCCTGACACAGGGCTCAATCCCAGGACCCTGGGATCATGACCTGAGCCGAAGGCAGACGCTTAACTACTGAGCCACCCAGGCGCCCCCACATTTAGCTCTTAAAATAGAGATCATCTGGGCCACCTGGGTGGCTCAGTTGGTTAAGCATTTGCCTTTGGCTCAGGTCATGATCTCACGGTCCTGGAATCAAGTCCCACACTGAGCTCTCTGCTCAGTGGGGAGGCTGCTGTTCTCTCTCTCTCAAATACATAAAATCTTAAAAAAAAAATAGCTCTCATCCATGGTAAATCTGGTTTCAGAGAAGACCTTAATTATCTGTCCAGAAACAAAACATTTACTGTGTTTATTATTCTATTACAAGCCTATTAGTTATACAAAATTTCAAAAATACAGGACAGAAAAATAAAAGCTGCCCATATCACTACTTACACAAAATCAATGTAATTATCTTAGTGTACCATTCCAAACACTTTTCTGTTTTAGAATATAAACACACATTGTTTTATAACTTTGTCACTTAGTAAAGCTATATTCATTTACTAAAGAAAATACTATAAACTTAGTTACATGGGAAGAGGTTTATAAAGTAGTGTATGTATCTGTGTGGAGGGGATTGTTGTAAAATGAATATATGCTCATTTATAAACAATACAAAGAAATCCCCAAGGGGCGCCTGGGTGGTTCAGATGGTTAAGCGTCTGCCTTCGGCTCAGGTCATGATCCCGGAGTCCTGGGATGGAGCCCTGCATCGAGCTCCCTGCTCAGCGGGGAGCCTGCTTCTCCCTCTCCTGTTCCCCCTGCTTGCGCTCTCTTGCTCTCTCTGTCAAATAAATAAATAAAATCTTTCAAAAAAAAAAGAAATCCCCAAAAGGTGAAAATAACCTGAAATTCTACCCAGAAATAACTAGTGTTAACATTTTCATGGAGATCCCCTTCCCTTCCTCTTCACATTAAAACAAAACAAAACAAAACAAAAAATTGAGAGTATAATTAAAAAAAAAGGAATTATAACAAATGTTATTCTGTGATTGGTCTTTTTTCACTCAACAACACAGTAGCTGTTTTCCACATTAGTACACACTAACTCCACCTTGAACACAGCATTCCACTGAAAGGCTGTGCCATAATTTATGTATCAAATTTCCTGCTGTTGAACATTTCAATTGCTTCCAATTATTCACCCTTTTATTTTTTATCTTTTTTAAAAAATCAAGTCTTCTCTCTTTAAAATTTATTTGAGGGGCACCTGGATGGCTCAATCAGTTGAGTGTCTGCCTTCAGCGCAGGTCATGATCCCAGGGTCCTAGGATCAAGCCCCACTTCAGGCTCTCTGCTCAGCAGGGAGCCTGCTTCTCCCTCTGGACTCCCCCTGCTTGTGCTCTCTGTCAAACAAATAAAATCTTTAAAAAAAAAAATTTATTTGAGAGGGACAGTGAGAGCAAGTGTGGATGGGTAGAGGAAGAGGAAGAGAATTTCAAGCAGATTCCCCACTGAGCACGGAGCCCCACGTGGGGCTCATTCTCATGACCCTGAGATCATGACCTAAATCTAAAGCAAGAGTCAGATGCTGAACTGACTGAGACACCCAGGTGTCCCTCCAATTCACCATTTTAAATAATGCTTTTTGAACACCATGTATACTTCCTTGTGTACTTGACTGATTACTATGTGTTTTAAAGATAAATTCCTGGAAGTCAAATTATCCAGTCAAAGCATAGGAGTCTCAAGAGACAGTGCCCTAAAACTGCTTCACCAGTACATACTTCCACCAGCAATAAATCCTGTTTCCCCATTTCCCCTACTCATTACATGTAGGTTTCCATTCTGTTTAGTCTTTTCAAATCTACTTAGCTCTTTTACCATTTCTTTGATTTCCTTGAAGATGAGCATTATCTCATGAGAATTAGCTAGCCATTTGAAGTTCTCATTCAAATTGAGCCTCTAATTGGAGACTGTCCATTTTTAAAAACTGGTGTTATCTCTTTATTAATTTTTTGCTCGAGCTTTTAATATTAAGGATATAAAAAATTTAAGGACATCAGTCCTTTCCCCATTTATTTATACTTACATTTTGCATATGGCATTTATGTAGCAAAGTTTAAAGATATTTATGCAAATTCATTTATTCACTATTTAGTGCCTAAAGTGAGGTGATGAATATAACCAAGTTCCTGCCCTCACAAAGCTTACATTCAACTAGTCAATCAAGTTTCCCCCCATTTAAAGTCCTACTAACCACAGCCAAAATAATACATGTACTTACTCATATTATCACACAGCACTTTATTCACCATGGTTTACATTCAAATCCTTAATTCCTCAGGAGTCAAGTTTGGTATAAGGTATAGTGTTTGAACTTTATTTTGAAATATTTCCCCTCTAGGGGGGCCTGGGTGGCTCAATTGGTTAAGCGTCCAACTCTTGATTTTGGCTCAGGTCATGATCTCAGGGTGGTGAGATGAGCCCACGTTGGGCTCTGTGCTAGCTGGGGAGCCTGCTTAAGATTCTCTCTCTCCCTCTCCAACCCCCCAACACCGTGCGTGCTCTTGCTCTCTAAAAAAAATAAATAAATAAAATCTGTTAAAGACATTTCTTCTCTAAATTATACTGCCATCTTTACCATATACTGGACTCACATAAAATAAATTTGTATTTGAATCTGTAGCTGAATTTTCTTCTTTTTTTAAGATTTATTTTTGGGGGCGCCTGGGTGGCTCAGATGGTTAAACATCTGCCTTTGGCTCAGGTCATGATCCCAGGGTCCTGGGATCGAGTCCCGCATCGGGCTCCCTGCTCAGCGGGGAACCTGCTTCTCCCTCTGCCTCTCTCTCTTATGAATAAATAAAATCTTTAAAAAAAAAGATTTATTTTTGAGAGAGCGAGAGACAGAGAGAGAGCATGCATGTGCAGTGGGGAGAGGGAGAGAGAGAATCTTAAGCAGACTCCATGCTCAGCATAGAGCGTCACTTGGGGCTTGATCTCACAACCCCAGGATCATGACCTGAGCCAAAGGCAGACGCTTAACCAACTCAGCCACCCAGGCACTCCCTCCCCCACTTCATTTTTTTTTTTTAAAGACTTTATTTGACAGAGAGAGAGCACAAGTAGGCAGAGTGGCAGGCAGAGGGAGAGGGAGAAGCAGGCTCTCCAATGAGCAGAGAGCCTGATGCGGGGCTCGATCCCAGGACCCTGGGATCACGACCTGAGCCAAAGGCAGCCGCCTAACCGACTGAGCCACCCGGGCGCCCACCTTCATTTTTCTTAAAAAATTTTTTTCTGATAATTCCTACAAATTTAAGATCATTTTATTAGCTACCCCTCCATTCCCCCGAGGCTGCAGAATGGCACTAAATATACACATTAATTTGGGGAGAACCAACATGTTTATAATACTGAGATTTTTTATTCATGAATGTGTCCAGGTCATCTCCTAGGCCCAACAGCTTGTAGTTTTGCTAAGAAGCTCTGCACGTTTCCCTCCAATCTTTTCTCCATGTGTACACCCACACTTTTTAGAACATACACACACTTGCTTTTTAGAATTATATATATATATACACACTTCATAATCTCATCACCTTCATTTTCTGCACACTTAACATGTGAACACTCATTTTCTAACACAATCTGAATGACAATATATTATCTCACCAAATTATTTACCACAATTTATTTAATTACTGTTGAATGTTTCAGGTTCTCCCCCAAACTTGGCTATTATAAATGGCTCTTTGCAAAGTATCTGTGTATGTACATCTTTTTTGTACACGAGCTCTTCCTAAGGAAGTATTTCTCAAGCATTTTCACTGGAGCAAACAAGTATCCCTAGGCGACCTGGGGGCACAGGCTCAAATGACTTTCTGCATCTGCAAGGTTTTAAGTCTTGTAATTTAATTCAAGAATTCACATACATTTTTTTGTTTTATTCCATAATATGCTGGTATCTGTTTGTTTTAATGTAGAAATGTTTTAAATCACCTACCATCAATAAAACTGATACCTGAAGATGTGTTTTTCCCATGACCTCCTATATGCCTTAGCACATCACTGTTTTCCAGGTTACATCTGACCCAATTTGAGAAGCAATGCCTTAGGAAAAAATGCTAAAAGCTGCCGTCTGAGGCAGAGCATGGATTCAGAAAGAATGCTCCTGATTTATATTTATTAACATATAAAGATCTTGAAGACATTTCAGGTGAATAATAAACCCACTTTATTAAAAAACAAACAAACCCACAAACACTGCTATGTGTTTTTTATAGGTGTAATGTATGTATGTGAATGCACGGCAAAGATCTGGAAGACCAAGAATAAACTAACAGTGCTTACTGTGCAGGATGATCACTGGAATTTCAGGTATAGGGCAAGGTGGCCAAAGAGAATTTTGGTCTTACAAGCAGTTTTTAAATTTCTGACAAAGACATTATTTTTCTTATATTAATGGTACAGATGATGCCCACCACCATGTATGTGGTGGTGGAGGAAAACATTTTACACGCAGATGTCCAACAGTATGGATTAATAAAAACTTTCTTTAGCACTCACCTACGGACACTGGCAATGGTCTCTCTGTTTTTGAAACGACTGAAACGGGCTGTGTAATTTAAAGTTTTCATGAAGACCTCAGAAAGTTCCTGTTCATCCTCTGCACTCTCATTCTGTTGCTTTCGATGCTCCAGAAGCATATGAACCTCTGAATTTAGTAGTGTCTCAGCTGTTTCAAACTCTATTTGTGAGAAGCGCAAATGTCAGCTGAAAATATTCCTTCAAAAGAGCGTCTAAATGTTCATTTTGCTCGAGACTAACAGCAAGTTTTTGTCCCTGCATAAATCCAGAGGCCTCATATCCCACAGCTTTATCGTCGTCCAGACTGATGTACCACAAGGCACAGTAGCATTCATAAGATACTAAAATTTAGCTCAGTCTGGCTAGAAAGTTTCTAACATCAAAGAACCTGACCTGGATGTGCTATTAAATAATGACACATCACTATCCAATGAGGCCAGTTACTGATTTCAAAATAGAGCACAGCCAACAATTCTCTTTAGCTTCCTTGAGCTGATAATCTAGTTCCATAATACTAATATTATACTATTTTAAGAATTATTACATGTTAGGGAGGGCCAAGTATTTGGAAACACACATTAATAATGCATCCCAGGGGCGCCTGGGTGGCTCAGTCATTAAGCATCTGCCTTCGGCTCGGGTCCTGATCCCGGGGTCCTGGGATCAAGCCCTGCATCGGGCTCCCTGCTCTGCGGGAAGCCTGCTTCTCCCTCTCCCACTCCCCCTGCTTGTGTTCCCTCTCTCACTGGGTCTCTGTCAAATAAATAAATAAAATCTTAAGAAAAAAAAAATGCATCCCAAGTTCTGTTTTTGTACCTGTACAAATCTGTTATTTACTCATTCACCCAAATTACCATCTATTATATACTAGGCATTGGACCTGTGTCATAAGTCCCTACCCTCTAGATTTCATAATCTTATAATGTAGTTTCCCTATTAACCCTACTTCAAATATTTACCATCACACAAATCTTGATACTCATTTATTTTTTCTAGCTTCAGGTTTTTTTTTTTTTAATTCCAGTGAGTTAACATACAGTATATTATTATTTTCGGGTATATAATTTAGTGATTCATCACTTACCCATGAGACCCATCAAGTGCCCTCCTTAATACCTATCGCCCATTTAACCCATTCCCCCTGCCCACTTCCCCTCCAGGAACCCTCAGTTTTTTCTCTATAGTTAAGTCTGTTTTTGGGTTTGCCCCTTTTTTCCCATTCATCTGTTTTATTTCTTAAATTCTGCGTCCTAGTGAAATCATATGGTATTTGTCTTTCTCTGGTTTATTTTGCTTAGTATGATAGTCTCTAACTCCATCTACATTATTGCAAATGGAAAGATTTCAATCTTTTTTGTGGCTGAACAACATTCCATTCCACATCTTTATCCATTCATCAGGCGATAGACATTCGGGCTCACCCCTGATACTCATTTAAAATAAAATAATCCTCTTGACCAGTAAGAATACCAGTGAGCAAACTTTAAAAACTAGGTTTAAAGAGAAAAACCTGGGACACCTGGGTGGCTCAGCTGGTTAAGCATCTGCCTTCAGCTCAGGTCATGATCCCAGGGTTCTGGGATTCCCACCTCTGGCTCCTTGCTCAGCAGGGAGCCTGCTTCTCCCACAGCCTGTTCTGCCTCCTCTGCCTGCTGCTCCCCCTGCTTGTGCGCACGCGCTCTGACAAATAAAATCTTAAAAAATAATAAATAAATAAAAGAAATAAATAAAATAGGACAAAATGCCTGGCTGGCTTAGTCGGTACAGCATGTGACACTTGATCTCGGGGTCGTGAGTGCAAGCCCCACACTGGGCCGAGAGAGACAGAGAGAGAGAGAGAGAAAAAAAGAGAAAGAAAAAGGACTACACAATATATCGTCAAATTTTTAAAAGGCTATGGGCGCCTGGGTGGCTCAGATGGTTGAGCGTCTGCCTTCGGCTCGGGTCATGATCCCAGAGTCCTGGGATCGAGTCCCACATTGGGCTTCCTGCTCCTTGGGAGCCTGCTTCTCCCTCGGCCTCTCTCTCTGTCTCTCATGAATAAATAAATAAAATCTTTAAAAAAATTTTTTTTCAAAAGGCTATAGCGTTCCTTTTGCATAATCTCATTTTTACAAATAAAAAGGCGTATGTATTATTTATTTATAAATAAACATAAAATTAGTTTGGAAGGACAAATACTAAATCGTTTACAGTATTGCCTCTGGGTGAAAGGGTGTAGAGTTTCACTTTTTTTTTTTTTTTACTGTGTATACAATAATTTTAAAAAGTGGCTAGGGGCGCCTGGGTGGCTCAGTTGTTAAGCGTCTGCCTTCGGTTCAGGTCATGATCCCAGGGTCCTGGGATCCGAGCCCCGCTTCCGGCTCCCTGCTCGGCGGGAAGCCTGCTTCTCCCTCTCCCACTTCCCCTGCTTGTGATCCCTCTCTAGCTGTGTCTCTCTCAAATAAATAAATAAAATCTTTAAAAAATAAAATAAAAACAGGTGGGTATTGTTAAAGTTTCCCTTATTTACATTTTCCAGTACCTACAAAATATGGTATTTTAAAAATCTTAAGCTTCGTGCTTATTTTCGGTTTCTAAATTACAAATAATACAGCTCACTGCACAAAGAAGTTCACTGCTAGCGAAATGTGCTGTACTTGTAGCCATCCGACAGACTCTGACCAAACGCTAGCCAGGCTCCTCTAAGCCCTGGTTTGGGGCTTCAACTTTGGCCCAAAAAGACATGAACAAAATACTAACATGATTTCTAACAGCTCAAGACCACATTCCTACGTTGGACCCTAGCCCCTTTAAAGCGCCTGCCAGTGAAAACTGACAGCTACTGTTAAAAATAATTTACTGTTTGTCCCAGCCAACACCTGAAGATAGGGCCCCTCTCAGTTCAGAGAAAGTGCTGTGGGAGAGCAGAAGTCTAAATTCGATAAGCGCCAGTTGACAAACCCAAAAGGGTTTCAAACGGACCAATCAATCCCCCTTCCCGCTTTCTGTAATTTTCCACTTCCTTGATCCTACCGAGACGCGGCTAACCCCTCCACTCCTTCATTTTCCCTTTAAAATGCCCAGTCACCTTTGTACAAATCGAAACTGAGTTCAGTACACACTAGCCTCTTTTCCCTATTGCAATCTAGTATTACTTTTTTTTTAAAGAAGGCTCCGTGCCCAGGCTCATGACCCTGAGATCAAGACTAGCAAGCTCCAGGCGCTTCCGTGGCTCCGGCGTTAAGCGTCCGCCCTTGGCGCAGGTTATCTCAGGGTCTCGGGATCGAGACCCGGGGAGGGCTCCCCGCTAAGCGGGGAGTCTCCTTGTGCCTCCCGCCTCTCCCCCGCTCCCCATGCTCTCTCTCTCAAATAACTAAGTAAAAAAGAAAAAAACTAACATGCTCTACGGACTGAGCCAGCCAGGCGCCCCTACAACTCGTGTATTACTTATTAAAATCTGTCCTTACCACTGTAACTAGTGTCCGCTTTGTTCATCCTTGCCACATCCCTGCAGCACTTCGCGCTTTATCAGATATAGTAAGTTACTTAAACGAGTAGGAAGAGGCTGCTCAGCGGCAGCGTGGAGCTGGGCGCCTGTTTCCAGGGCAGCAAGCGTGGAATCCAACTGGCCCCTCTCGAGGCATTCTGGCGGTGCCCGCCCGGGCCCCTCCCATGGCCGCATCCCCCAGCCTCCCTGCCCCTCTCCGCGCCGGCGACCCGCCCGGCTGCCTGCCACGGCCAGGCCTTGTGCGAGGCGTGGGCAACGCCAGGCCTGAGGCAACGCCACCCCCACCTTTGGGGAAGATAAGCTGTGAGGCGTCCTCCTCTACGTCGCCGGCCCGCGGGTCGCTACCGCCGGCAGCCATCTCCACAACACGCCTGGGCTCACCGCGCGGGGAACCGCACGCACACGCCGGAAGCACTCGCACACCGGAAGCGCAGAAGCGCGGGTCTTGGCCAAGGGGGGGAAGGGGCGTGGCCGATGAGGGCGCGGTGGGCGGCCGCGGAATGGAGGCGGGTGGGAGCGGTGTGGCCCTCTGGGAAGCCCAGGCGGCCGGGGGCGGCTGAGTGTGGAGCTTTGTGGGGCAACGAGGATCCCTTTGTCGCGCGAGCTGGGACTGGGCATTGGGCCTTTCTGAGCCTCAGCTTCGTCACCTGTGAAGTGTCGTAAGGCCTGCTTCTCAGGGCTGGGGAAGGATTAGATGAAATGCAGAAACGCGCTAAGAGACTGACCCTAGGAACTCCCGTGGAAGGAAAGCTGGGCTAAGTGACTCCGAAAAAATATGGTGGAATTTCTTTCAACGCTTAAGTATTTAAAAAATTTGATGGGGGTAGATGGCTAGCTTAGTCGGTTGAGTCCCACACTGAGTGTAGAGGTTACTAAAAATAAAATCTTAAAAAACATTGATTTGTGGTGGATTATTCTGATACTTATGGAACATGGAAAGTGATGCTGAGAGGCCTTTAATACAGCTGTTGGAACATTTGGATGATACATAGAAAAGTAAGCAAATGAAAAATGATGCTGTTTTCAACTTCAGAGAAAATAGAAGATTGTACAACAAAGGAAGTAATCAGTGCATTACTTGTCTCTGGTTAAAGATGTTTAGGTATCATTTAAACTGTTTACAAAAAAAAAAATTACCAGACAAGGGTATGTGCCTATATTCTTTTTTTTAAAGATTTTATTTATTTAGGGCGCCTGGGTGGCTCAGTCGTTAAGCGTCTGCTTTCGGCTCAGGTCATGATCCCAGGGTCCTGGGATCGAGACCCGCCTGGGGCTCCCTGCTCGGCGGGAAGCCTGCTTCTCCCTCTCCCACTCCCCCTTCTTGTGTTCCTGCTCTCGCTATCTCTCTCTGTCAAATAAATAAATAAAATTTAAAAAAAAGATTAAAAAAAGATTTTATTTATTTGAGAGAGAGAATGAGAGAGAGAGAGAGAGCACATGAGAGAGAGGAGGGTCAGAGGGAGAAGCAGACTCCCTGCCAAGCAGGGAACCCGATGTGGGACTCGATTCCGGGACTCCAGGATCATGACCTGAGCCGAAGGCAGTCGCTTAACCAACTGAGCCACCCAGGCGCCCTGTACCTATATTCTTTTGATTTATAAATATAATAATTCTTTTTTTTTAAAGATTTTATTTATTTGACAGAGAGAACACAGCGAGAGAGGGAAAACAAGCAGGGGGAGAAGGAGAAGCAGGCTTCCCACAGAGCAGGGAGCCCGACGCGGGACTCCATCCCAGGATCCCGGGATCATGACCTGAGCCGAGGGCAGACGCTTTAACCGTCTGAGCCACCCAGGCGCCCCAAATATAATAATTCTTACAAAATTAATTTGCTCTCTCTGTCAAAATAAGTAAAATCTTTAAACAAATAATTTGCTGTTTCTGTATTTCCAGAAGAAATGTATTGGGTAAAATAATAGTAGGTTATATAGCATAGGCAGAACTTATATGACTGTTTCAAAGCGGTTTCCTACACAGTTCATTAGAGGCATAGGACGAAGTCCTGATGAGGAGTCTGGGGACGTGCAGCAGCTGGGTGTGAGAGGCCTGGAACTCAGCGTAGACCTCTTCCATCTATCCATCCAACAGGCCCTTACAGAGCACCTAATGCCTACTGGACCTTACCATGTGCTTGCTCAAGGACTAGCTAGATACCCAACACTTGGTATCCTCTACACACACGCAGTAGGAGAGAAATCAACAGGTGAAAAAGAAAGGAGAAAAATAATAGACGAAGTGATGTTTCACAAGGTGGTTTGTCCATAACATTTTCATTCAGGAAACCATTATAAACACTTAATGTAGAAAGCCCTGGGGTTAAAAAGATGACTCAGTCATATATCTGTCCCTACAAGGAGATCACCAAAAGTAGCTGATGCAAGATGTGGACTTATTTTCCATAATAAAATAAAGTGGCAAGAGAAAAGAGAGAAAGTCAAAGAAAATGCTATGGAAGGATCCATACAGAAAAAAGTCACTTCTGTTTGGGCGTAGGTGAGTCACAAGCGATCTGAGGAGCAGGGGCTGGCATTGGAACTGCTCTTTAACATTTAGTCAAACAGAGATGGGGGAGGAGTAACATGAATGAAATCAGGTACATATGAGGAATATTTACTCTAAGGTAATTTATTTCAGTTTCCTTAAATGTCATTTTCATTATATCATCATTCTTGGGAAATGAAGAAAAACATATTAATTATACAGAACTTATACAAACAAATGTTTGCTGTAATAAATATTAATGTTGCTATATCATTTTTTCTTTTTTTTTAATTTTTAAAAAGATTTTTATTTAGGAGTGCCTGGGTGCTTCAGTTGGTTAAGCGTCTGCCTTTGGCTTGGGTCATGATCCCGGGGACCTGGGATCGAGCCCCGCGTTGGGCTCCCTGCTCGGTGGGGAGTCTGCTTCTCCCTCTCCCTCTGCTCCTCCCCCTGCTCGTGCTCTCACTCATTCTCTCTCAGATAAATAAATAAAATCTAAAAAAAAATTTTTTTCTGTTTTATTGCAGTGGGTACTTTTTTCTTCCTCTAAATTTTTTATTGTTATGTTAACCACCATACATTACATAATTAGTTTTTGATGTAGTGTTCCATGATTCATTATTTGTGCATAACACCCAGTGCTCCACGCAGAATGTGCCCTCTTTAATACCCATCACCAGGCTAACCCATCCCCCCACCCTCCTTCCCTCTAGAACCCTCACTTTGTTTTTCAGAGCCCATCCTCTCTCATGGTTCCTCTCCCCCTCCGATTTATTCCCCTTCATTCTTCCCCTCCTGCTATCTTCTTCTTCTTCTGTTTTTCTTAACATATATTGCATTATTTGTTTCAGAGGTACAGATCTGTGATTCAACAGTCTTGCACAATTCACAGCGCTCACCATAGCACATACCCTCCCCAATGTCTATCACCCAGCCACTCCATCCCTCCCACCCCCCCCACCACTCCAGTAACCCTCAGTTTGTTTCCTGAGGTTAAGAATTCCTCATATCAGGGGCGCCTACGTGGCTCAGTTGTTAAGCCTCTGCCTTCGGCTCGGGTCGTGATCCCAGAGTCCTGGGATCGAGCCCCACATCGGGCTCCCTGCTCAGCAGGAAGCCTGCCTCTCCCTCTCCCACTCCCCTGCTTGTGTTCCCTCTCTCGCTGTGTCTCTCCCTGTAAAATAAATAAATAAAATCTTTAAAAAAAAAAGAATTCCTCATATCAGTGAGGTCATATGATACATGTCTTTCTCTGATTGACTTAGTTCACTCAGCATAATACCCTCCAGTTCCATCCATGTCGTTGCAAATGGCAAGATCTCATTCCTTTTGATGGCTGCATAATATTCCATTGTGTATATATACCACATCTTCTTTATCCATCTATTGATGGACATCTTGGCTCTTTCCACAGTTTGGCTATTGTGGACAGTGCTGCTATAAACAGTGGGGTGCACATACCCCTTCAGATCCCTACATTTGTATCTTTGGGGTAAATACCCAGTAGTGCAATTGCTGGATCGTATGGTAACTCTATTTTCAACTGTTTGAGGAACCTCCATACTGTTTTCCAGAGGGGTTGCACCAGCTTGCATTCCCACCAACAGTGTAGAAGGGTTCCTCTTTCTCCGCAACCCCACCAACATCTGTCGTTTCCTGACTTGTTAATTTTAGCCATTCTGACTGGTGTGAGGTGGTATCTCATTGAGGTTTTGGTTTGGATTTCCCTGATGCCGAGCGATGTTGAGCACTTTTTCATGTCTCTGTTGGCCATTTGGATGTCTTCTTTGGAAAAATGTCTGTTCATGTCTTCTGCCCATTTCTTGGTTGGGTTATTTGTTCTTTGGGTGTTCAGTTTGATAAGTTCTTCATAGATTTTGGATACTAGCCCATTATCTGATATGTCATTTGCAAATATTTTCTCCCATTCTGTCGGTTGTCTTTTGGTTTTGTTGACTGTTTCTTTTGCTGTGCAAAAGCTTTTTATCTTGATGAAATCCCAATAGTTCATTTTTGCCCTGGCTTCCCTTGCCTTTGGCAATGTTTCTGGGAAGAAGTTGCTGCGGCTGAAGTCGAAGAGTTTGCTGCCTGTGTTCTCCTTTAGGATTTTGATGGATTCCTGTCTCACATTTAGGTCTTTCAACCATTTGGAGTCTATTTTTGTGTGTGGTGTAAGGAAATGGTCCAGTTTCAGTCTTCTGCATGTGGCTGTCCAATTTTCCCAACACCATTTGTTGAAGAGACTGCCTTTTTTCCATTGGACATTCTTTCCTGCTTTGTCAAAGATTAGTTGACCACAGAGTTGAGGGTCCATTTCTGGGCTCTCTATTCTGTTCCAATGATCTCTGTGTCTGCTTTTGTGCCAGTTCCATACTGTCTTGATGATGACAGCTTTGTAATAGACCTGGAAGTCCAGAATTGTGATGCCGCCAGCTTTGCTTTTCTTTTTCAACATTCCTCTGGCTATTTGGGGTCTCTTCTGGTTCCATACAAATTTTAGGATTATTTGTTCCATTTCTTTGAAAAAAGTGGATATTTTGATGGGGATTGCATTGAATATGTAGATTGCTCTAGGTAGCATTGACATCTTTATAATGTTTGTTCTTCCAATCCATGAGCATGGAACCTTTTTCCATTTGTTTCATGAGTATTTTATAGTTTTCTGAGTACAGATCCTTTGCCTCTTTGGTTAGA